GGGCGGTGAGGCCGCGGGGCCGGAGGAGCTCCGGACGCCACCCGTCCCAGGGGCCACGCAGACTGCGCGGACCCGGCGAGGACGCCCCGAGGCCACGCGGGAAACTGACCCGCGCCTCTCGCATCTGACCCGAGCTCCCAGTCCCTCCTTTCCCTCTCCCACTCGCTCCTGCCTCCGGGTGCCTTCATCTTACTCCATCACTCTGTCCTGGAAATGACCTGCTTGTGTGCAGCACTTCACACTTTACAGCCCTCGGTCCCCCGGCCCCCACAGTGAGAGCGGGGTCGGGACTGTCTCCTCTTCCCCGGGAAGATACCCACGTTAGCCGGTTTGCTAGCGATCCCTCAGGCGGGGCCTGACGGAAGGAGAGAAGTTTGGGGGGCTTATCATCCACGTACTTGGCCTCGGCCAGGTTTTCCCAAGCGAAGGCTTGGGGGTGGAGGCGGGGGGTACCCAGAGGCCAGGAAAGGGCAGCATCCGGCGGGGGTTTCACGTGAGCGCTCGGCTGGGTCAACAAGCCCGGCTTCCCTTCCCACGGGGGCTGGCGAGATCCTGGGCGCGGAGCGGAGCGAGGTCGAGGGAGCGCGGTGATCGCTGATGCGAGTCGGTGCTGCGGAGCCAAGACGGGCGCGGCGGTCTCCGAAGGGCGCGGGGGCGGGGGGTGGCTGGAGGAGGCAGGAGAGAGAAGTAAGGGGAGAGGCATGGGGAAAGAGAATGAGGCCGGAAAACCAGAGAAAAGAGGGGGGAATGTGAACGAGTCAGCCGCGATAAAAGACGTGCTGGGAGAAACGCAATGAAGAGTAGAGGAAAAGAAAGGGGGGAAGACACGCAGCAACAACAACCAAAAAAAAACAAGAAAAAGCGGCGGGGACAGGCGCCGAGGGGCGGCCTGCGGGACTGGGGACCAGGGGGACGCGGCGGGGGTGTGACAGGCGCGCTCCGAGGCGGGAGAAGAGGAGGCGGTGTGTTTGGTGGGAGACTCGGCGCCCGTGGAAAAGCAAAGCGTGTGAGCGGCTCTGGGCAGGAATCCAACAAATAAATAAAACGTCTAAGACGGCGTGACAACAATGTGTATTTGGGTGCGTGCCCGTGTTCCCCTGTCTGAACACACACACACCCGTAAGGAAGACAAACGGGGCTCGCGCCTCCGAGTAATTAATCCTCCCACTAATTGACTCTCTCCCCTTACCTAATGGCGGTGGTCATTGCCGAGATCTGGAGAGAGA